AGGAGGGAAAAGTCATCTTCCTCTGATTTCTCCTTGTGTTGAGGTCCTTACTGCACGCAACACAGGCAAGACATGTTGAGACTCAGTTGTGCAGGTGGAAGTAGAAGAAAGGGGGCCAGTGAAGATATATTTACGAAATATATATTCAGGCTAGTTTAAGAAAATATATTTAGGAAAGGCAAGTTAGTGTGTGAGAGGTACCTGAGGTGATTCCACATTCCCACAGGGAGTACTTCTTGAAGTATTTCCATGAGTTACTTCAAGGGGTGGGTGGGCTGGTGGGAAGAGCCGAAGCAGATAGAAAAGAGAATATGTATGTGATTTAGAAATGTGTTTCTGACTTGAAGTGAAAAATACTGGAAAACTGATCATAACTACAGTAGAGTTACTTCACTTTTCTTTACCCTCTTGCTACTATCACTCATAGGAAGAATTGAAATTCTGTTTAGGAAAACTTAACTATACCTGAGATGATAAAACCTTTAAAAGTGGAAGTTTGGGATCTTAGAGGAGGTAAGAAACTTTGAGAGATGAAAAACAGGATAAATGAAAGAGTGTTACCACCGGGCACAGAGGCTCACCCCTGTAATCCCAACACTTTGGGAGGTGGTGGCAAGAGGATTGCCTGAGCCCATGGGTTCAAGATCAGCCTGGGCAACTTGTCTCTACAATAAATCAAAAAATTAGCCAGGCATGGTGGTGCATGCCTGTAGTCCCAGCTACTTGGAAGGCTGAGGTGAAAGGATCGCCTGAGCCCAGCAGATTGAGGCTGTGGTGGCCATGAGTGTGCCACTGCACTGCAGCCTGGGCCACAGAGTGACACCCGACAGGAAGGAAGGAAGGAAGGAAGGAAGGAATCACCACTGAAATCCGAGACAGAAGAGGAGACTACCTGAACAGGGTATGTAGCCAACATCATACCCAGGGACCACAAGTGAAAAGCAAGGATTTTTGGTAACCATGCTGTAATAACTTTTCTAAAATACTGTGGGCTCCATAGCTGCGCTTAGGGCAGTATTTACAAACATGGGCTGATCTTAAAATGGTCTTGTGCAAGCCGGGCTCAGTGGCTCAGCCTGTAATCCTGCACCTTTGGGAGGCTGAGGTGAGTGAATTGCCTGAGCCCGCGGGTTCGAGACCCGCCTGGGCAGCGAGACCTCATCTCTACAATAAATCAAAAAAAAAATCAGCCGGGCGTGGTAGCACATGCCTGTAATTCCGGCTACTTGGAAGGCTGAGGCGGAAGGATCGCCGGAGCCCAGCAGGTCGAGGCTGCGGTGGCTGGGAGTGGCCACTGCACTCCAGTCTGGGGCGATGGAGTGAGACTCCAACTCAAAAAAAAAAATGGTCTTGTGCTCAGAAGGTATGTCTCCTACAAAGAGGGGAAGAGGGAGAGAAACCTGAGTTGTAAGGGCCTGACTAATTTTTTGTAGAGAAGAGTTCTCACTATGTTGCCCAGGCTGGGCTCAAGTAATCCCTGCCTCCCAGAGAACTGGTATTGTAGGATGAGTCACTGCTTTGGACCAGGGAGATACATTTTATTTTGTTTTATTGTAAGTCTTTTTTATTTATGGTAAAAGTCTCCAAAAGATCAAGGCTGTTATCTTTTAAATAACAAGTTAACCATATAAAACAGCTGTATCCCAAGTAGAGAAATATATACAATATAATACATTCAATACTTTCAATATTGTTGTTTTTATACTAAATTAAAAGGCACTATCATTTAGAATGTTCTTTCTCCAAAATCCAACCTGTCAAAAGATATAATGTACATTTTTACAAAACTGACATAGTATTAATAAAACTGCTAATGATTGTAAATTTTTTTTAAACTACACTGCACCTATGTTAGAAAAAAAGGCCTTGCACTAGATGGTTTGAATACTGCATAAGCCAGTATGTTAACACTTGAGGAATAATGAGTGGCCTGACTAGTTTCACCATCAGGCTCATTCACAATAGTTTTCACCCTGAAAGCTCAGCAAACTTTGGGAGAGGCATTTTAAGTTCTGCACCAAGTGTTTGTTCTTGGCAGAACACAGGCTGTCTGCACACCACCCTCTAGTGTCTATGAGAGCCACTGCAGTTTTGTCTGCATGGTAAAAGCAAAGTTATTTAACTCTGTTAATTGGAGCAAATATTTATAGTGTTGTTTTTTTTTTTATTATTTATTGTAGAGATGAGGCCTCGCCTGCCCAGGCGGGTCATGAACCCGCGGGCTCAGGCAATCCACTCACCTCAGCCTCAAAAAAAAATTAGCCGGGCGTGGTAGCGCGCACCTGTAATTCCGGCTACTAGGAAGGCTGAGGCAGAAGGATCGCCGGAGCCCA